GCATAGGACAATTTATATAAAATATCCTTGGTTACCATGACATGCATCATATCAACAATTAACTGCTACTATGATTTTCACATATAGAACTTCGAAAATTTTATTCCATTCATGTGATATAAAAGATGTAATATTAATATGTGCTTATGCAATACAGGTGTAGTACGAAGTTGTGTGCATATGAGATTTTAAAGGAATGACAAGTATAAGATAATCATACCTTCTTACATTTCATTACTTACCATATGTAGTTTCTCTTTACATTTAACCATGTGATGATATGTATGGCTTCTAATTGTAATATTTCCGGATGTAAATTTTTTTTTGTAGATATATATATACAGTTAGTTAGAGACTCGTGTTGATAACGTGTTATGAAATAAAAACAATTTAGTAAAACATGAACAAGAAATAAAAGCAATTTAGTAAAACATGAACAAGAAATAGAGATAGAGAGAAGGAAGAGATTTTCTTCTTCAATTGTGTGTATTTTCCTATCTATTACAAGGCCTTTATATAGGCATGAAAAATGAAGAAAATATGTCATGAAATATGTCATTATCCATTTAAGAGAAAGATTATGGAGGAAGAGTAGACATCCACCATATTTTGATTTTTATCATAACAATAACGACATAGTGGTGAATTCTCACCAAACATTATTGTCATACTCTTGACGAGTCCAACACTCCAATTCATTGCGGGGAATATAACGTAGCATTTAAATTTTGTTGAATCTATTACAAAATCCACTGTATTAATTCCATTCTGTGCTTACTCCAACAAAAAGGATCTTGTACTTACGTTTAACTAAAATTCCCATTATAGTGATTATAATAACATCTTGATCATTAATTATTCTCATAATCTAATAAGCAAAGGTAACCTTTAGTGTTGAGTTTGTATTCAATTGAACTCATTAGAACTGTCAATACGGGCTGGCCCGGCAGCCCACACGGGCTTTGGCATTTGATGGGCTGGGTTGAACCGGCCCAATATTTCGGTGAGCCTTATAATAGTTAGCCCAGCCCAGCCCTACGTAGGCACGGGCCGGCACATCATTTTTAAAAATAATTTTTTAATTTGTTTTTAAAATTTAAGTTTTAACCTAAAATGTGCGCAACCCACACACATATAGAGACATTTATAAGTCTAAAAATATACTTGTTGGATAGAAAGCTTTTGCAAAACTTAATAATTTTTTACGTTGTTCCAATAGATTACTATAAAACATAAAAATAGGAGGACGATATTTCATTCATTAAAAGTCAATACTAAAAACAAACTACTCAAAAATCTTTTCAAGGTGATCATGACATATCCAATGCCAACATTTGAATCCTCTTGTGAAACAAAAATCTCTTAACATCTTCATTTCATCTAAATTTATAACTATATACAATGTAAATTAGTTAAACATTAAGAAATAATTAAAATTTTAAGAGCAAAAAGTATTTAAATTCACATATAAAATGTTAACAGTATAATTTTGGACTACTCTTCTTGTTATTATTATTATTTTTTTATATTTTATATTTTTAATTAAATACATAAGCCCACAAGCCGGCTCAGCCCAGCCTCAGTCAAGCCTCATGGCCATGGGCTTCCTTGGGTCGGGCTTAAAAGCCTAATTTCTAAATGGGCTCCAAAAATCTTAGCCCAATCTTATTAAATTACGGGTTGGGTGGGACCGACCTAACGAGCCAAGCCCATATTAACGACTCTAGAACTCATAAATTTTTGCTTATATCATAGATATATATTTTTATAAAAAATCTTGAAAATAACTTTTACCCATATTGTCAAGTAATTATGACCTTGGACTCATTAAATGCAAGGTCGAATGAGACTGACATATATTTTGGTTGGTTCCACCTATCATTTTGAATTTGCATGTGCTTTTAAGTTAGAATAAATTAGTGCGAGTAAAATGAATGAAACATATTCTGACTTCTGGGATATAACTTTTCGATATGTTAAAAAAGCATTTTCGGGAAAAATTACAAATGGTATGAATATATAACAACTTGTTTTTCTAAATTTGTTATGACAGTCATAATTAACACGTGCTTTTGTATGTAACATTGAACGTGATAGCTCAATTTTATTACTTCCTCCCGTTTCAATTTAAATGGATAGTTTGACTCGGCAAAAAATTTTAAAAAAAATAAATTAAAATTTGTGGTCTTAAAAGTTTAAGGGATAAAAGTTTTGTGGAGCCATGATATTTGTGTGATTATAAAAGCTTCTTATTAAGGGTAAAATAAAGAGTTTAAAGTTGAATTATTTCTAAATTTAGAAATACGTCATTTATTTTGGAACAGACTAAAAAGAAAAGTACCGATCTAATTTGAAACGGTAGGAGTATAATAATTTCTTTTAGTCTTGAATCTTGATAATACATGTGCGTCAATGACTTTTTCAAAGTTGTCGTCATTCGTGCTTTCGCAAGTTTTTAGGTACTTTTTATAATTAAAAAAAAAGTGCATTCTTAAACAGTAGGAATCAAAAATTTCATTAAATAATATCAAAATATAAAGAACAGTTCAAAGTATTCAACATATAATATATATCAATAATAGTAAAGTTATGACTTGACTACGTGGGCGTTTGGACGTAAAAATGGTAAAATCCTAAAATAGGATGAAATTGTTTTTCAAGTGAAAATGATATTTGAAATTTAGAGTTGTGTTTGAACATGAATATAATTTTTGGTTGTTTTTGAAGTTTTGTGAGTTGAAATTTTGAAAAACGACTTTTTTAAGTTTTTCAAATTTTTGAAAATTTCTAAAATGTATCTTCAAGTAAAATTAATTTTTTTTATAAACAAGCGTTGATTTTGTAAAAAAAAAAGAAAATATTTCTTATGTTCAAACATGCACTATATAATATAATTTTTCGACAAAAAGTGTTAACCCTTCGCTTAAGAGGATGGTCCCGCCACTGCTCTCAAATCTATGCAATGCTAGGCCCCATTTGGAGCTTCACATGAGACCATAGCTTTTACACAACATTTTATCATTGTTATTTAGAAAACATTATTTGCATTCAATATTTGCACTGAAAAAATTAATACAAGTAATAAGTTTTGCATATTAAGATTTTTTGCTACACCATAATTAAGTAATAGTATGTGGTTATTCTTTTATTTGTAACTCTTATAACAGAATTAGAGTCCGGTTGGATTGGCTTAAAAAAGGTGACTTTTCAGTAGAAATAGCTTTTAAGCCGAAAAATAATAAGTTGGGGTTGTCCAATCCAAACACCCTCTTAGCTTGGTGGTTTTGTGTAGACACTCAGGTCCAATACGTATTTTTCTTACTACCACTTTCCTTATTTAAAAAAAATATATATTTGTTTTTCACGTTGTCTTAATTTTTAATGGGGTATTATCACTTTTAGCCCGTGTCTGAAACTATTTACATTTGGTAGCTGAAACAATATATAAAATTTGTATAATTTTTGTATAGAACATACATAATGTGTGTGCATATATATATTATATACAAATTTTATACATTCTTTTGCTATTATTTTTACAATGACTATACAATGTCATTTTTCTATTTTTTTTAATCCTTTCTCTTTTTTACTTTTCTTGATTAAAGACTAAAGGAGTAGAGAGAATAATGTACACGTTTTGTTTCTCAATAGATTATTTTGATAGATAGCTTCTAAAATGGTGAAAATGAGAGGAGACTGACATATATATTTAAAAATGCTATATTAAAATAGAAAAAATTCCCTCCCAAAAGTTCTATGTTTAATTATGCAGTTTGAAATGAATAAAAGGTTTTTAAATGTACAAAATACTATTAATTGATTAGTTGTACTTATGTTTATAACATATGACTTTATTTGCTTCAAAATAATAAGTCAGGACACTACATTAGGACGCAAATTGATCATAATGAGAATAGACTTCTCCGTAAAGTAATAATATAAATATAGCAAAAAATAAAAGTATCAAAATAGAAGAAGCATCCAAGTGAAGCTATTACTATTTGAGGAGCCAAATAATTTTTCTTTTGATTATAATTTTCTCCAGCTCTTTTAAAGTATTTTTAATTATTACTGATGTTGACTTAGTACTAATGTTTTTTTAAATGTATAAAATACTCTTAATTGATTAGTTGTAATGTTTATAACACATGGCTTTATTAGCTTCAAAGTAATAATTTGGGCATTGCAGTGGGACATGGATCAATCATAATGAGAATAAACTTCTCCGTAATATAATATAAATATAACAAAAAGTAAAAGTATCAAAATGAGCGAATAGAGTGAAGCTGTTACTATTTGAGGAGCCAAATAATTTTTTTCGATTATAATTTTCTCAAAATCTCTTAAATTATTTTTAATTATTACTGATATTGATTTATACTAGTAATTTTTAGTAAGTTTTAGATATATAAATACTTAAAGAATCTATACCGAAATTCACATCTAAAATTATTGGGACTGAGATAATTCTATTTTTTTTTTTGGTTTGACAAAATCAGAGACGTAACAATTAATTGATGGTCATTATTAAAGTTTTAATAAAAGTTTACATTTTTCTATAGTAGAAATGTAGAACTTCAAAATTCTTTATTTTAATTTTAAAATAAAAATTTAAGAAAAAGGAATAAATGTGTCAACTGGTCATAGTCCAAGTCAGAGTCATTTTAGCACTTTTCACATAAATATTGCTTACTTTCTTCCTCTCCAAACAGCCATCACTAACCACCAGCTTTGTTTCTTCTGCTTCTTTTGTTTTCAAATTTTAATGGTTTTTGGTTTACTCTTTTGTGGTGCAAATACAGAGAAAACAAGAAAAGATTAATCACTTCTTGATTTTCACTGTAGGCCCAAAGTGTTTCAGTTTCTGACTTTAAAGACTTGATTTTTATTGCTTTTTCAACCTTTTCTTTTCCCTTTTCAGTACAATTCTTTAGCATAATTACTCCACCATTGAAATCCCACTTGTTGTACATTTCGATAACTTAAGGATTTGTGTGGGAACAGCAATTAAGTAGCTTGAGTTTTGGTTGGTAAATACATGCCAAGTTGTGCATGTCACTATCTTTATATGATTTTTAGCTCAATAGGGTGCTTAGTCATTAACATTATCCTTGTGAAAAAATGGATTTTTAGCCATGGTTTTATGAAATCAGGTAGTTAAGAAATTGGACCAAAATAGATTTGGTCCTGAGATTTAAGATCCTATTTGGGATCAAGGTTCAAGATTTCTGTTTTCTTGGTTTATTCTAATTTGGTGTTGTTTTTGGTGTATTGTTGGAGCTGAGTTTCTTTTATTGTCATTTTGGAGTTAAAAGTTAAGAGTCTTGAAAATGGCTATGGGACACCAAGACCAAGATGGAGTTCCAAACAACTTGAGAAAGCAACTTGCTCTTGCTGTTAGAGGTATTCAATGGAGCTATGCAATCTTCTGGTCAACTCCAGTTACACAGCCAGGGTAATAAGGCCTATTCATTCTCTTTTACTTGTATTTTTCATATTTTACTTGAGTTTCATTGTAGAGAAAATATTTAGAACAATGGACCAGTTTTGAGGTTTAGGTGAAGAATGATGGTATTTAAGGTATCCCCTTTGTTCATATAGGTGGTTCCTAGTTGAAGTTCTTGCACATTTAGGAAATAAGATATGTCAATTTGATTTCAACCACTGTTACTATTTCTTGATAATTTTTAGCCCCAAGAAGGGGACCTTTGGCACAACTGTAAGAGTTGTTGCCGAGTGACCAGGATTTCACGGGTTTAAGCTGCGGAAACAGTCTCTTGCAGAAATGCAAGTTAAGGTCGTGTATGAAAAATTCAATGTGCCAGGACTCTATGCATAGCGGAAGCTTGGTACACAGACTTTATTTCCCCAGGATTCCTTTTATATAACCCTTTTTTTGAAGAAAAAAAATTTGGGCGGGGAAGGGGAAATGAGGGAAGGGAATTACAAGGTGAAAGTTCAGGTAACCAACCATCTGAGCTATTAAGATCCT